ATCACCAGCAACATCACCAGCATCATCATCACCATCACCATCATCATCAGCTGCATCAACAACATCATCATCAGCATCTGCATCATCATCAACAGCATCGCCATTGTCATCATGATCATCATGATCATCATCATCATCATCATCATCATCATCATCATCATCATCATCATCATCATCATCATCATCATCATCATCATCATCATCATCATCATCATCATCATCAGCATCATCATCATCATCATCGTCATCGTCGTCATCATCATCATCATCATCATCATCATTCGCATCCTCGTTCCCGTGTTCCTTATCCTCCTCCCCCTCGTCAGTATCACTCTTTTGTTGCAGGCGACCCAGTTGGAGCACAGTCTGGCCCCAAGAGAGGCCCAAAGGACCCCACGAGACATACAAAGGCCTGTCGTCGTCGTCCTCCTCTCCCTCCTTATCGTCGTCGTCGTCGTCATCATGCTCCTCCTCCTCCTCCTCCTCCTCCTCCTCTTCCTCCCCTCCTTCCCCCCGTCCTCGTACCCCCTCGTGTCCCCCCCAAACGCCCTCAACGAACTTCAACGCGCCCCCAAAGCCCCAGGCGCCCTAAACGGGACTCATAGAACTCTCTCCGAAGCCGTCCAGATGTCCCCAGGAACAACCGCAGCAGGCCCCAATATACTTCCAAAAAGCTACGCCCTCCGCCTCCTTCTCTCGCTCCTCATCTGTATCACCGTCGTCGTCCTTCTCCACGTCTTCCTCTTCCTCCTCCTCCTCGTCCCCCTCGTGTTCCCCACTCGCCGGGAACATCACAACTCTCGCCTTCCGCGGAACGCAATCACCTTCTCAGCCTCCTCCCATCGCCATACGGGGGAGACTGAGGAGGGGAATGATGAGGAGGAGGCGGAGTGATAGGGGGAACAGCAGGAGACGTAGGATACAGATGAGGAGGTGGAGGAGGATGACGACACTGCGGCGGGCAATTAATACGTAGAGGGAACTGTGGATACAGAGGATGAGGATGATGAGGGCAACTATCATGACTTGGAGGAGCAACTCTTACCCATCCTCGTCATCGCCAAATGTATGATTCCATGACTCCCAGTCCTCCTCATACCACTCATCATCATCATCGTTCTTCTTCTCCTTATCATATCTCCTACATGGAAGGAGGAGGGGGAGTGATATGAGGATGAGGCGGAGGAGGAGGAGGAGGAGGAAGAAGAGGAGTGGCATGAGGAATACGAGGAGGAGTTAAAAGATGAGGATGAGGTTTAGGAGTCATTCATCCTCACGGTGCTGCTCCTATCAGTCCTCATCCTTCTCATCACCCTCCTTCTATCACTCCTGCTCATCCTCCTCTTCCTCATCCTATTTTCCCTATAGGAGATGAGATGGAGGGTGGAGGAGGGGGAGAAGGGATGATGAGGAGTGTCCCTGCAAGTACCTCGCCATCAGCCTCCTTATGTTTATCCCCCTCTGGCGGCTCCTCTTGCTCCCTCTCCTCCTCATCATCCTCAGCCTTCCGTCTCCTCCCTCCACGTCAGCCTCCCCTGTGAGGGATATGAGGAGGATGAGGAGGAGGACGAGGAGCATGAGTGATAGAAGGACCAGAAGGAGGCGGACGAGGAGGATTCAGGGGAGCAAGAAGAAGAGTGAGGCGAGGAGGGACAGGAGAGGAGGATGAGGAGGATGGGGTGAATGAGGATCAGGAGGATGAGGAAGAGGAAGGGAGGAACACCGAGCACGGAAGGCCGAAAACCCGCCATATCAACGATGGTGAGTCTATCTCCCTCTCTCTCTCTCTCTCTTTCTCTCTCTCTCTCTCTCGCTCTCCCAACTCGCAGCTTTTTGCCTCCAAAGCGCCACGAGGGCTCCCCGCGGGAGTCCATCGGCAGGAGTCACTCCCCCTCAACCACCATCCTTCGTTGGCAGAAATCTTACAATCGCGGGGGTCCGAAACCGAACCGAAGCAAAATTCCTACCTGAGCCTCGCAAACTCCTGGGACGCCCCTCCTCTTCTGGGGGTCGTCGGAATGGTGTGAGCCTCTTGAATAAAACGAATGCTCGTCCAAGCTTCCGCCGGGGAACAATCAATATGCTGTGGGCGACGCTGCCACGGAGCAACAGTAGCGACTGCCTCCAGGACAACGGACACAGCATGGCAAGACACTTATACTCCAGTTTGCGGCGTCGGCCAGAGGGAGTTCGCGCACCTTTTTGGGTCTTCTCCTCCCTCCCCTCATCCATGCTTGCCTCCTCGCTCTGGCCCGCGCTCGGGGTTGAGCGCCGCACCGTCCGGTGATGATCGCAAGACCACGAGTCGCCTTTCGTCTTGCAATTCGCTTGCTCGCGCCGCTTTGCGTTCGGTTCGGGTGGCCCGTCTCTAGGGGAACAACAAGTTGTATAAACATAACAACTCGGAGGTCCGCGCGGATTTCTCGGATCGGCGCTGGACCCCCCTCCCTGGCGCGCGGAGCGCGCCAGGGGCGGCGCCGGGGGCACAGCCGGGGGGCCCCAGCGCCGATCCGAGAAATCTGCGCGGACCTCCGAGTTTTTATGCTAATGTCACTTTTTGTTCCCCTAGTTTCGGCGGTCGATTCCCCATATTTGCTCATATCTTCTGGGTTTTCGTCTTCCCCTACACTTCCAATATTTTCCTGTATGTTCCTGGGGATCAACGATTATTTGTGTCTGTGTTTTTTTCCCCTCCTGAGTTAGAGGCCTCCTGGATGGGGTCCGAGTAGATGGGGTCGGAGGATTGCGCCACATCGCCAATGCATCACCGACTTATCGGCGATGCATCAGCGATGCATCGGCGATGCATCGGCGACGTCAGCGATGCATCGGCGACGTCGGCGTGGGGAAGATTGGGCCCTACATCGGGCCGCATCGCCGATGCATCGCCGATGCATCGACGATGTGGCGCAATCCTCCGACCCCATCTACTCGGATCCCATCCAGGAGGCCTACACTTCCAATTGTTATGTTGATATGTTCTGGGTTTTCGTATTCCCCTACACTTCCAATAGTTTCCCATATGTTCCTGGGGATCGACTATTCATTGTGTCTGTGTGTTTATCCCCCTCCTGAGTCCCCCCCCCCACCCCAGCACTCCCCCACCCCACACTCCACCCCCCACCCCCCCACTCCCCCCGCTCCCCCCCCCACACTCCCCCCACCTCCACACTCCCACACTCCCACACTCCACCCCCGCACCCCCCACTCGGCGTTCCCCCCCCCAACCCCTCCACCCCCGCACTCCCCGCGACTGCTCCTCCTCCTTCCCCGACGGGATGGGAGAGCCCATGTGCCCCACCCGACTCGGCAGGGCTGCGCCTGCCCTCAGGGGCAGCAGCAATACTGCCCCCCCCTCCTCCTCTTCCTCCTCCTCCTCCTCCTCCTCCTTCTCCTTTCCTCCTTCCTCTTCCTCCTCTTTCCTCTCCTCCTCCTCCTCCTCCTCCTCCTCCTCCCCCGCCTCCCCCTCCTCCTCCTCCTCCCCTTTCTCCTCTTCCTCCGACGACGACGAGATAACGGCTTCCGAAGATTTACGAGAAGAGATTGGTGTCCTAGAAGGGGCAACTTTCGAACATTACGTCTTCCAAGTGTTTCCAACTTTCGGATGCATGCTCCAACTTAGATCAAACATCGCCTTGATTCCAACTTGCAACCTCCCCCGAAATCCCGTCGGGAAACTTGCAGGCACCTGGCCAGACGCCTTCGAAGAGTTACCGTTCTCACTGTCCTGAACTCTTGGGCACATTTTGGCATCGCATGAACATGTTTTTGATCAGCGTGTGCCAGCTCTCGGGCAACTTCGGGCCTCTGCCGGCACATAGCGATACACAGTCATCTGTGGCGGTGCCAGCTGATTTCTGCTCCCGATGACTACTTTTGGAAGGAAGTCATCGTCCCCGTCGGTCTCTGGGGCCACCGTGAGCCGTCTGGTCCCCACCCCGCATGCTCTCTGGTCCAGGGCCCTCTGGGCATTGGCTCGGGGCTCGAGCGGGCTAATGGAGGATGACGATTAATAAATGACCGGGGGTCGTGTTCACGCGGCGGCGCCCGGGATGACGATTAGAAAAAACCGGCCGCGGGCTGGAAAGCTATGTTTTTAATCGTTCTCCTCCAGTCCGATGGTTGTGCAGAAATAGCAGAAAACTATTGTTTTAATCGTTCTCTCCCATTTGTTTTCTGAATCGTCATCCCGCATTACATCTGGGCCCGTCTGGCGGCCCTCGTGGGTCTTTTTCGGACGCCCACGTGCACCTCAGAGTCCCCCCAGGCCCGGCGGGGGGTGGAATATGTAGCCGTGCACTTTTCAATATGCAGCAGCTTTTCGGTAGCTTTCGGGCTCGCTGGGAAATCGATTGTCAACATGTTCCGGCTTTCTGCCGGCGTTGGGTTGGGTTTTCTAACGTTCCTGCAAATTGGGTTTTCTAACGTTCTCCCGGACCTCCCTGCAAGTTGGGTTTTCTAACGTTCCTCAAACTTTCAGGCGTCTCTCGGCGCTTACTTTTCATAGCTTTTTCGACTTGCGGGCGCCGCTCGGAAATTACGTTCCCGTTGGCCAGAAGTAATTTGTCCTGGGGCTGGGAATTGAGCAAGGGTAATGACACATGTGCTTTTGAACTTTCCTGAGCTGCTTGGTACCTTTGAGGATACAAAGTCGATCTTCGGAAACCGTGAACTGCCTCTGACGAAGACGCCGAGGATTGCGACGACGGGTAGGATAGCGCGCCTCGGCTTGGACCACACCCTGAACACATCCTCTCCTTCCTCCCTCCCTCCTCCTACTCCTCCTCATTCCTCCCTCCATGCTGTGCCCCCCTCCTCCATCCTCTGCCCTCCTCCTCCCCCCCTCTTCCTTTTGCTCCCGCCACTGCTTCCCCTTCCATGGTCGGTCCTAGAATTCTGAGATTTCCTCGTCACTTCTGCGAAGGGCACTGCACACCTTGTAGGTGTCGCAGATCCTCCTGCGGAATGTCCTATCCCTCTGCTCATCTGCAGCTTATATCTCCCCCGCCCAGTCCACATATGGGTCCGACGATCGCAGGCCGTGAGCGACCATGCACTCACCATATAACCTGTGTAAAGAAGAGTAGTCGACACAAGCGCGCTCTGGATGAATTTCGGGCGCCGCCACCGCTAGGAAACAATTATTGTCCGAGCTTAGCGAAACGTGTCGGTGGGCCAACTGGGATTCAAGCTAGATGCTCATTCTGGGGACCTTGCTGGAACCACTCGCTCGACTCATGCGTCGCCGCTGCGTCGAACGTCCGTTGACTTCAATCGAACTTGAATTGAGCTGGAGTCGAACAGATCTCTTAGGCGGGCACCAGGAAGGTCCCCCACACGAACATCCAGCATTTGCCTGTGGGCCCACCAAGACTCAGGACGACGCGCTCGAACAACCTACCGATCAACAGTCCCTCCACGCCATCGATCCCGGATTCAGCGCGGGAACGTCCAGCCAGTCCAGCAGCCCGGCAAAGCTCATCTGCTCAGAGGTGATCATGTTGACGTAGTTTACGCAAGCCTGGTAATCCTGAGGAACGGCGTCCTCGACCTGTGCCACAATCTGTTTGCCGTCGCGCCCTACGCGGCTGTCCCACGCGTGGCCAGCAAGGCGGGTGCGCGCGAGAGCTGCGTCCTCGGGGGTCAGGAAGCTCAGCAAGGCGTGCCCCATGTTCCAGGACAGCGCGTCCCCCACCGCCTACGCTGGCTGGGCAACAACAGCGGTGGGAGGGGGGAGGGGCGCTCCGAAGTTGCACGCGTGCAGCTTCGGAATGCGCCCTCGAGAGGGCTCCAGAAGCCACGCGCGGCCCCACTGGCCCAGAAAGGGCAGCAACAAGAGATCGAGGAAGCCCTTCACAGAGCCCTGTACTACTTGTACGACTCCGGCAGGCAGCCTCAAGAGACACAAGAGGACCACAAGAGGGCCCAAGCAAGAAAGCCACCGCAAACTCCCAGAAAACTTCGAGACGACCCCAACACGGCCTGGAGAGGGCTCCGAGAAGCCCCCCAGGAGGAATCGAAGGAGGGGGAGTAGTAGACAGGAGTGCGGTGAAAGGGGATTTGAAGGGAGCAGTCGATGCTTGGTGCAGAGGGGTCGCCGAATGCAGAGACCGAATGACTTCAGATCGAATTGACAACCGCCACCACGAATGTGATCCAAGCACCCTGCACTAAAAGATCACGATGCCTACCTCCCGCAAGCTATCACCGGAGACTCTCGCAGCAGGTTTCGTTGATCCTCTCACTGCGCAGCCAGAATCTCACCACCCCCCTGGGCGGAGGTGGCTTGGAACGTTTCCTCTTCCACCCCCCGTTTCCCCTTCGGGGAGAGGTTGACCCCCCCCCTCTCTCTTTCTACCCACTCCTCCTGGGCCTGGACGGGGGTGGGTGGGGGCACGAGGTGTCGGAGGGTATGTTTCGGCCCAGCGTGGCCCCGAGAGGGCCCCAGAGAGCCCACGACGACCTCCAATGTGGCTTGAGGTCTGAAGATGGTCTCCAAGATGCCTCCGAGGGGCCGCAAGCCTGCCTTGGGTAAGGTCGAGTGGACCTGATCGGGCCGCGGCAAGTGTTGGCATAGGGGTGTCTTGGTAACGGCTGCGACCAGGCTCCTTGAGAGCTTCTGAGCCACGTAGGGCATACGTTTACTCTTGGGCTCCGTCGACCCCTCGCTGCCCCCATGGACCCCTTGTTGCCCCCTCGTGGCCCCCATGCGTTCATCTCTTGGCTCCATGAGCTCTTTTGGGCCACAATGATTTGCACAACAAAATCACACGCTTTGCATAATAAAATCACGGCGCATGCCTACATTCGCACAGTGCCGTGCAATGCCGTGCCGACATAGGGAACATACAAGCATGTGCCGTGCCGTGCCGTGCAGTGATGCAGAAGGGAAGGCGCACCTATGCTTTTCTTGGCCACCGAGCTGGCCGTCGGATTCGTTTTCTTTGTAGGTCATTTTGGCCCAAGGCTTGCAAGGCCACATCCATATACTCACAATGCCACCGAATCCATCAATTTTGCTGGAGAGCTTCATATCGATTAGCCGTGAGAAGGGACTTGTATCTCATATTGTTGCTACAGGTCATGTGAACATCATAGGTGTGGCGTACATGATGGTACCATTGATCGAGCCAGATGAGGTGACCAGCATGAAGTTGAAAACGAAGATGGTCAAACTCTTGAGGCATCCAGCAACGGGCGCAAATGGGCTTTTCGATGCGACGTCAGTCCACGTCTCACTACTACCTATGTTGCGGAAGGTTTGTACTCTCGGAGAATTTGGCGACGACCATTTGGAACAATTCCTGAAAGCACTGGATGTCGAGAAACGCCTGTCGTCGAGGAGAATACTGATGCCAATAACTGAAATTGCAGCACCAGCGAGATTGTCCCTACCGTTGCAAGATGCCCCATCGTCTTTGTCCTCTTCGGCAGTGCTGCCCCGAGCTCAAGCTGAAGTCGTTGACCTTTCTGCATCAGAAGGCGCAGTGCCAGCGCCGTACAGTACGTGCAGCCATGATGAGTTGATCAACGTCATTGTCGCTCGGGATGAGTCGGTTGTATATCTGATGAAGGAGAAGGATGCGCTGCGTAAGAGGTGTGATCACTACAAAGGTCGATGTTCACAATTGGTTGAGGAGGCCAAGAAAAATTATCCTGGCGAAGGTCCCATGCATACGCAATTGTGGGTACCGTGATTGTGAATATCTGCTTCGGTGAAGTTCCCTATGGGGCCACGAAGCGCTGCATTGGGCGGGGGGAGCGCTGCACTGTGTGGGTGGTGTGCCGACTTGGGTTTCCGGGACGCATGCGGACGGTCCCACTGAGGGCTTCGGTGGAGCTCCCTATGGGGCCACGAAGCGCACTACTGAGTGAGCGAAAATGCCAAATTGGGTTTCCGGGGCGCATGCGCACGGTCCCACTGGGGGCTTCGGTGGACCCCCCTATGGGGCCACGAAACGCTGCACTGCGCGGGTGAAAATGCCAAATTACATTTCCCGGACGCATACGGACGGTGGAACTGGGGCTTTGGGTGGAGCCCCCTGTGGGGCCACGAAACGCTGCACTGGGTGGGTGAAAATGCCAAATTGGGTTTCCGGGACGCATGCGGAAGGGGGCACTGGAGCCTTCGGTGGAGCTCCCTATGGGGCCACGAAACGCTGTACTGGGTGTGTGGCACGCATGCATGCGGACGGTAGCGCTGGGACCTTCGGTGGGGCTCCCAGTGGGCCCAAGAAACGCTGTACTGGGCGTGCGGGACGCATGCAGGCGGTAGCACTGGGACCTTCGGTGGGGCTCCCTATGGGGCCACGAAGCGCTGTACTTGATGGGTGAAGCGCAGGGAGGAGCGGGAGGCCACGAAACGCTGTACTGGGTGTGCGGGGCGCATGCGGACGGTAGCACTGGGACCTTCGGTGGGGCTCCCTATGCGACCACGAAGCGCTGTACTGGGCGTGCGGGACGCATGCGGACGGTACCACTGGGACCTTCGCTGGGGCTCCCTATGGGGCCACGAAACGCTGTACTTGGTGGGTGAAACGCAGGGAGGAGGGGGAGGAGGGCCACGAAACGCTGTACTGGGTGTGCGGGACGCATGCGGACGGTAGCACTGGGACCTTCGGTGGAGCTCCCTGTGGGGCCACGAAGCGCTGTACTGGGTGTGCGGGACGCATGCGGACGGTAGCGCTGGGACCTTCGGTGGGGCTCACTATGGGGCCACGAAGCAGTGTACTGGGTGGGTGAAACGCAGGAAGGAGGGGGAGGAGGGCCACGAAACGCTGTACTGGGTGTGCGGGACGCATGCGGACGGTAGCACTGAGACCTTCGGCGGGGCTTCCTATGGGGCCATGAAACGCTATACTGGGCGTGCGGGACGCATGCGGACGGTAGCACTGGGACCTTCGCTGGGGCTCCCTATGGGGCCACGAAGCGCTGTACTGGGTGGGTGAAACGCAGGGAGGAGCGGGAGGAGGGCCACGAAACGCTGTACTGGGTGTGCGGCACGCATGCGGACGGTAGCACTGGGATCTTCGGTGGAGCTCCCTATGGGGCCACGAAGCGCTGTACTGGGCGTGCGGGACGCATGCGGACGGTAGCACTGGGACCTTCGCTGGGGCTCCCTATGGGGGCCACGAAGCGTTGTACTGGGTGGGTGAAACGCAGGACGGAGGGGGAGGAGGGCCACGAAACGCTGACTGGGTGTGCGGGACGCATGCGGACGGTAGCACTGGGACCTTCGGTGGAGCCCCCCGTGGGGCCACGAAGCGCCAACTGGGCGTGCGGGACGCATGCGGACGGTAGCACTGGGACCTTCGCTGGGGCTCCCTATGGGGGCCACGAAACGTTGTACTGGGTGGGTGAAACGCAGGGAGAAGGGGGAGGAGGGCCACGAAACGCTGTACTGGGTGTGCGGCACGCATGCGGACGGTAGCACTGGGTTCTTCGGTGGAGCTCCCCATGGGGCCACAAAGCACTGTACTGGGCGTGCGGGACGCATGCGGACGGTAGCACGGGGACCTTCGCTGGGGCTCACTATGGGGCCACGAAGCAGTGTACTGGGTGGGGGGGGAGGAGGGCCACGAAACGCTGTACTGGGTGTGCGGGACGCATGCGGACGGTGGAGAGGAGGAGGGGGCAGAGGAGGAGAGGAGAACGCGTGGACCGTCTCTTCAAAACGAGGACCCAACACCACAGGATGGTTGGGAATGATGATCTTGTTTTGTTCAAGCAGCTGGTGCAATGCAAGCCAGGCCGCAACGTCACGCACCTTGGCGTATATAGCTTGGCCCTCGCACGCAATCGAGGCCATCTTGGGGCAGGCCTGACAACTGTACTCGTGGCTGGCGAACATCACCAAGGCCACCTCAACCACAACTCCAAGAATACCGTGAGCAATTTCGAGCACAGGGCAGCCATGCCAAAAGTCATGCGCAGGAATAACTTTTTTGACGGGGTGGACCAGATCACACTGGTTACAAGCGGCTTCACATATACATTCGCGTACGAAGTGTTCTGCTACAAGGGCGGCGGCACGGAGCAAGAAATGTTAAAGTTGCATGTGGGCACGTTGACCTCAGTTACAATCAACCACGTGGACGTTGTTGGAGCGTGTATCGCACGAGCGGGTTCTGACCGTCAGCCTGATGATGAGCCATTGGAGCGCATCTTCAAGCTTGCATTTCTCTCTGTCCCATGTGTGTCCACGGCGTGCGATGTGCAGATGGTTCGTCTGGAGAACGGTGCCGAAACTTGTGCGATCCTCGAGGCGCAGTTTGGTTCAGTCGGTTGTCCTCACTTCTCATCGCGAACATCCACCGCCAAGAATCTTCCAGAATGCGAGGTGCACAAGATTTTCGATGTATGCATTTGGGCTCGACCAGGGTCCTGACAACACGGGCTTCATCGGTAGGGCAATGGTCATCGTAGAGGACGTCGACTGTGTGATGATATGCGTGTGCTGGTGCCTATTCCACCAATTACATTTTCATTGTGAAAGTTGTTCTGGCTGCCTTGGACGACTGGCACCATGCATCAGAGTTTCCAGTTGCGTATTCTGGAGTGGCTATCTTGACAAACCTTCGGCGAGATTCTGGGGCAGCTGAGAAGATCAGGAACGAGGCGGAGGTTATGGTTGGTGCAGACGCGTCCAACAGCATGAGCAAAGCCCCGAGCAGAGCTTTGCGAGGGAGGTGGGTCGCCATCGACGCTGTGGAGACGGTCTTGGTCAAAGCGACTTCGTGGTTACCGTCTGTCATACTTTCTGTGCTCAGGGGCACGAGGAAGTCCAAGGTATCCAAGGTCGGGGCTGCCGAGGACAAGACATACCAAGAGCAGCACTCGAAGTACAAGAACAATGTTGTAACGCTTATGGGCATGCCGCTGTGTTTGGCAATGATCGTCGTGTCGTTCGCGGTGAAGCGGGTTCTCACGAGGGCCTTGAATTGGGGGGGCAGAAGGTTACGAATGAATACACTGCTATTGCCAAGCAGGCTTGGGCAGATGCTGACACATACTTAGGCCCTACGCCTCTATCGGTTTTCCTCGCCAGGAAAGTTTACGAGTGGTACAAGGACCTGTCAGACCAATTGGACCCCTCGTCGATCGAAGATCCAAATATGTGGGGGCATGGTTGGAAACTTGCCCCTGATTCAGAATATCCAAAAACTAGTGCCCTGATCGTTTCGCTGACCGTCAAGATCGCTGCGCACTGGAGGCTCCGCTTTTTGGGTACAGCTGAAGACTGGCCTTGGCAGTTACTCTTGATGCTGGAATATCCCCCTGAAGCTGATTGCCATCGGCGGCGAACTGTTGCTGGCACGCTGCTCAACACGGACGACTGCTGCCTCAAACGCAAGTTTTCTGACATCACGGTGAAGGCGAAGCGCTTGTTCAAGGACCACTTCGAGCACGCGCGCCAATTTGGAACATGCCCATTGCCATTGTGTATCTTCCTGGTGGGCTGGCGTTCCCAGTGCATCTTCGACACGCAGGACGTTGAGGGCATGAACAGCATTGTTCAGGAGATGCGTCGGAGAGCGAATCACTTACACTTGGCATTGGCGTCTGCTCGTGTGCTGATCAAGAAAGGCGACCCGATCACGGCGCGCGAATGTGCGAATATCCACAAGGCAATCATGACGGAATTGGCATCCCCATCAAATGCTTCGAGGTTCACGGAGGTGCCATCAACATTCGCACCAAGCGAAACTACTTTCAAGCTTTGTGAGCACACAGTGGGTGCCGCACTACAAAGAACACTTGGATTCATGGGCAAAACTCGACAGATTGTGACCGACCCGTCAATGGAGACAGTCTGGACATGGCATCGCCGTGGCACAGAGGATAGGATCGGCTTCGTGGTCGCCTGCACCTACAGCTACCAGATGTACTTGGCCATGTGGGTTCTGAGGACAGACAAGGTATTCGTGCTCGCGAGGCCGCTGAATATCCAGGCGATGGCCGTCGTCGTCGCTCGGCTGATCACGGACCCACTCCTTCCTCTCTCCAACCCTCTCTCCTCCTTTCACCTCCAGCCAATCCTTCGCACTTTTTTGGTGAACCCAAAATTCACCTTTCTCCTCCTCCTCCTCCTACAATTGCTTGTCCTCCTCCTCCGCCACCTGGAGCGAGGAGCATGAGGGAAGTCTCCCCCCTCGTGTTCGTCTCTCATCGCACTCTTCCCCACAGGACAAGCTGGACGCAAAGGAGCTCACGGTGTACTCGTACTCGCTGGAGTTGCTCAACCTGGACTCGGCCAAGTTCGACCTCGAGAACGGCAAGGCCAAGACGATCAAGTACAAGAAGCCGAAGCCTGCGACCCAGCAGAAAACACATCACGCAGCGGACGTCTCCACAGGTCCCGAGGCTGACAGAGATGGCGCAGCCGAGGGTGCTGGGGAGGGTGACGGTGACGGCGTCGCTGCCGGCTTGGACGACGACGACGGCTTGGATGATGCCATGGAAGATTTGCCTGAGCACACGTTCTTTGGCGGAGGTGAGGGCGGAGCGAGCGATGATGAAGACGAGGACGGAGCCAGCAGCCATCATGGGGACGCACGCGACGATCGTGACGACGATGATGCACGTTGACGGCCCGTGGGACCCCGAGAAGGAGCCAGAGGATCCCGCGGACGATGCAGATGATGTACCAATGCCAGCACTGCTGCCAGCACTGCCAGCACCAGACGATGAAGACTTGGAGGAACTTCGCGGTGTACTGCGTGAGGGCGTTGAGAAGGGCCGCCATGGCGTTGCAGATGCAGAGTCCAAGGCCGAGACTGTAGTGAACGACCCACTTGAACATAACAAGATGTCACTTGTTCAGCTCGATGGTGCCAGCGTGTTCGTGAGGTGGACGAATCCTCTTACCAGGGAAGGCAGACAAGTGGGCCTCGATTCCAAGAACCGCATCATCTACGCGATCCCCTTCGTGGTGCCAGCGATCAAGATACCTGCTGATGCGTGTTCTCATTGTCGACACGGGGGCAACCATGTACAAGGTTACTGCTGCGCTCAAGCCCTCGATGCCTGACTGGTGTATCCTGCTCCAGAAACTCTCGGAAGCCAGAATGATTCAGGGGCCTGTTGATGACGTTTTTTCGTGCGCAGTGTGTGTGTGTGTGTGTGTGAGGCGCGCGTTCGTTGTAGCTTGGCCCCTGATGTCGGGGCTGAGCAGAAGTTTCGTTGCATTGCGTGCGCTTTGCTTTGGCACGACGGGTGCGCCACGTGCATTCCAGAATATACCAAGTTGGATGAGCCAATCAACATGCAAAATTTCATGTGCCCATTGTGCATGCTCGAGGAAGCTTGGATCAGTGCACGTAGAGACAGCAACACGAGGAAGGGAGGGAACGAGAGAGAGGTAACACACATGAGAACATGAGAGTGCTGTGCATTACATAACGCACGCTGTTCTAGCACAGAGGCTGCATCTTTGCAATTACGCACGTGCAGCGCTCGGCGTCGTCTTACGCCCTCCATGTCTCTCCAACGAGACCTCCCACTCTCATTCACTCCATCCCTCTTCCCTCTTGTCCTCCCCTCGTCGCTCCCAACCCCCTCCATATCTCTCCCGTTTCACCGGTCACCCTCCCGCTCGTGTGCCACGCGTCTGCAGTCCTGCAGGCTCTGTCGTTTGGCAACGCCGACGTGCCCGCGAGTTTCGGTGCTTGCTCTCACGAGTTCCCGAGAATCGAAGTGCGGCGCTGCAATTTCACCAACTGGAAAGGCCTCGTGGGCTCCTTCGCTCTCCTCCTCACTCTTATCCGTCACCTCTGCCTCGAGTCGTCGGGGGCCTTAGGGTAGATGTAAGGAAGACAACAACAAAAACAAACAACAACAAAACACAACAAAAAACAACAAAATAACACAAACCCAACAAGTACATGAGCCTTCAAACCTGTTCATTGTTAGCGTGGGGTTGGACGTTCGGAGGCAAGCTCCAGAAGGCGACCTTGACATCGCATGTCAAGGGAGGGGCCTTCAAGGGCCAACTTAGACATCCTCTGTCAAGGAAGGCATCCCACGTAGCCCACCTTGACATATCATGTCAATCATGCAGCCCCCTAGGGCCAATTTAGACATCCTATGTCAAATGCGGGGTCCTCCCAAATGGTCTACCTTGACATCCTATGTCAACTGCAGGGTCCTCCCACAGGGCCTTCCTTGACATCCCATGTCAAATGCGGTGTGTCCCCAAAGGGTATACCTTGACATCCTATGTCAAATGCAGGGCCTCCCAAGGGTCTACCTTGACATCCTATGTCAAATGCGGAGCCTCCCAGATAGGCTACCTTGACATCATATGTCAAATGCGGGGCCTCCCAGATAGACTACCTTGACAGCCTATGTCAAAGACGCCCCACCCCCACAAGGTCGACCTCGACAGCCTATGTCAAAGACGCCCCTCGCCCCACCAGTCTACCTTGACAGCCTATGTCAAATGCACCCCCTCCCCAAAGGATCTTCCCAAAAAAGCTTTTGTCAACCGAGGCCTTCCATGACATCCCGTGTCAAATCTCCCCTGCTTCTCAGGAGGCGCGTTGACATCCTGTGTCAAATTGAGGGGGGGCGTCCCGAGGCTGGCCTTGACATCCCGTGTCACATCGGGAGTGGGGGCGCTCCGAGGCTCACTTTGGTTCGCGGGTTCGCCTGGACATCCTTTGCCGACGGAGGGCCGTCCGAGAGGCGACCTCGACATATTTTGTCGAAGATGTGCCTGCCCCCCTTGCCAAGGACCCCTCCCCCACTTCCCCTTCCCCTCCGAATAGCAACGCGAGTCCAGGGCTTCGAAAGCTGGGAAGGGGGAATCCAACTCCAACTTCTGGGGGAAAGGGTTCGCACAGGCGTGGAGCTGCTAGGAAGGCGCGTAGGGGGGGGGAGGGATCTCTGGCACACGGGGGGCGAGCAGGCTCCGAGATCCGCCTCGGTGAGCTCCGAAGAGAGAGAGGCAGGCCATCCGTCACCTGGCCATCGCTCGGACGTCCCTTTCCTGTGTTTTTTTTTCGGTTTCGTGAGTAGTTGTTTCGCGAAAATGATCAAGGATGCTCCTCGATGGTCCTCGCCGAAGGAAAAATGCACACGTCCGAGCGATGCCAAGTCACCTCCGTGCCTGGCCAGTGTTGGCTCGAGGCGGCACGTGGCTTGGGCAGAGCCCGGCAGACACGCCAAGGCAGCCTGGGACTCCAGGCGGGGTCACCGCCACGGCGGAGCAGCCAGGGACGCAGCTGGCCCCCGTGGCTCCGTCGGCCAGCAGTGGCCAGACAGACGAGCGGGTCCGCCAGCCTCTCTTGCCTGCTGATGCCGTCCCTCCGTTCGACACCTGGTTGAACAAGTACGATGATATCCACAGGCGCTTTGGCCGCGACACTCCAGACGAGCACCCGTTCGAGCTGCGCAACAAGTTTTGGGCACTTCCAGATAAGACGTTGTCATTATTCGGCGCAGGAGGGAAGCAACTGATGCGTCGCCATCCCCAGAACGACCGTGGAGACTACGGATCACGCGTAGGTTTGATAAAGTCAATCCAGTCTTTGGGGCTCCTGCTGAATATTCGGTCGCATCCGTTCTTGGTGGAGAAGACCGCTGGACAGGAGTACCTCAGCCTCCATTGGGCCACTATCATCGAGGCGTTGTACATGGCATACGAGACGACTCCCAAGAATTGTTTGGTTGCGCACGCAGTGGCAGCAGGACTTCCTCGCTGCAAGCTCTACCATCCCAAGATTCCGACTGGCGGGTCCAAGTCTCTCAAGGAGTATGGCAACAAAGGCAATGACCACCTCACCAAGATGACGATCATGGAGTGCTACCGCGAGGCTGGGAGGATCGAGAAGGCTTGGGAGAGGCGCAAGAAGGATATGCAGTGGACCATCGCGTCCCTCACCTACGCCGTGCACGAGGAGAAGAAGAAGCACGAGTTCGGTTGCTCGGTCTTACCTGGACGCTTCGATAGGGATCGACATTTCGAAGTCTGCCTGCACGTCGCGAAGGAGAGCCAGAAGGTCATCATCGAGAGGTGCCCTGACAAGGGGCTCAGCTGCTGGCAAGCTCTGGAGAAGGCTGTGAATGCGCACTGCGACTTATCGCACCCCGCAGCTTGTTCGTTCTCGACTATTTTCGTCAACATCTGCCACGTCTTCCGCAAGCTCAGGGCCGAGCACGCCGAATACTTCGCTGAGGTGTGCCTCCTGATATTACCAGTTGCTACGCCCTTGGGGAAGTGCATGATCATGCCGCACGGCTTGGGCACAGTCGCAGCCGAGGCTCACCGAGGCCAGCGTCGACGCGCTGCTCCTGGAGATGGAGGATAGCAGAGCTATCCAGGATGCGATGGCCGCAGCATCTGCGCAAGCTGCTGGATCACAAAAAGAGGAACAGGCGCAGCTAGTTGCGAAGGAGGCGGAGGGCAAGAAGGAGGACAAGGACGACAAGGACAAGGGCAAGAAGCACAGGGGCAAGGCTGACAACAAGGCAAAGCAACTTTTGAAGAAGAAGGTCAAGTCTTTAGAGAACCAGCCCCTCCTCCAAAAAGAAGATGGTGAGACAACTTTCCTGGGCGTGCTCGACCAGACGGTCATGTGCATGATGAAGGTTGACTCGTCGCAGCAGGACCTCATCCACTCCTTTCGATTCAGTGCCTTGGTTGGCGCCTTGGGCGAGAAGGTTTCGGTCCAGGCCGGCGGGGTGGCGAAGGAGGTCAAGGGCTACAGCAAATTGACGAGGATCTACAAGACACAGTTGTACAAGACGGCTGCACCTCAACCGAGAACGTCTGACCCAGACTTCCTGAAGCAGATTAGCGGACTTGCAAGCGCGCCGACAGTGGGGAACTCCGTGGACGTCGCCATGCAGCTGAAGGAGAATCTGGAGGAGGGGCTCCCGATGCTACCTGACCTGGTGAAGTTCGTGAAGGTTCGGTGGCGATTTCGTTCCGGAGAGATTTTTCCAGCAGCAAGTACAACGACAGTTTTTTATGGCATTTCGGACTTGGTTATTAAGAGGTGTTGAATTCCAGTGCTTTGGAAAAAAAACAATGCCACCAAGTCGAGCACTTGCTGCAGCGAAACATCGCTTCGAGCGAAACCGTTTGAAGGGGAACCCGCTGGACAAGCCCGTGATCACGAGTGAGTTCGCGCCGAATGCTATCAACGGCGTAATGATGGGCCTCAGGCACATGTTCGTCGAGAAAAGGTGGGCGTTCGTGAACGTTGGCGAGGCCATGAAACAGTTGGTCGGTGGAGCGATCGAGTACCTCAAGACTGCAGCACCGCCTGGACGGGATTGTCTTGCGAGTACGCTAGGGGAGCTCGACAAAGTCAGCTCGGAGTGTCGCTCGAAGGCCATTGAGAGCGTCCCAGCAGAGATACACGAGGCGCTTCCCTTGAAGATCAGCCTGGAGCTCATTCGCACCATGCGCCACCGTCTGCTAGTAAGCATGCTTGGCTCAGTGGGGCCCATGAGCACGAAGATTCGCGATGGACCTAACGTCGTCGATCGGCCCCATGCACCACCGCTTCTTCTCAACATGTTGAAGACATTGATGAACCTCTCGGCATCATCGATATTTCAACATCTGCATCATCTGACCTACCTCTCGCGAAATTGGAAAATACGCTAAAGGTGGGCTTCGGTGAGCTGGCCAACGTCATTGTCGACAAGATTGCAGAGTTCCGCAGCCACTGCGAGAAGCATGATGGATCTGGATACCCCAACACGAGGAGAGCCGTGGAGAGCAACTTACAGAACTTTACTACCAAGCAGATGGAGTTCGTGAAATCTGAGAAGTTGGCGGTCAAACGAGCCAAGGGTTTGAAACTATTCCAGAGCAAGCGTGTGGAGGCAATTGCAGACATCATGAACCAGTACGACAAGAAGCATGCAGACTTGAAGATGGCGTTCGATATCTTGGATAATACTTGGGTTGCCGTCGTCAACGCCATAACCTTGGACATCGTGGGCGATACTACTCCTGACAGTGCGGTTCCTGCTGGTGGTGACGCTGCGGTTCCTATTGCGGGCTCTACAAGCGCGGAGGCGATCGACAAGAAGAATGGCAAGGTGGAGTTGACGGAGTGGTGGAAGCAGACTTTGGTCACTGAGGGTGGGATCGATTATGCGGATTCTTCAGTGCTCACGCGGGAGATCATAGCTCATCTTCAACTCGCCTTCTCTAAATTGCCACGGGAATCGTATTGTGACACCGAGACAGCTGGCCTCATGCAGATCACCACGATGGAGGCGCCGAAGAGTGGCAAGGCCAAAAGAGTTCTGGAGATGAGCAGCATGGACATCTTGAAGACCTACTTGCCGTTCTGGGGCAGGGTCGTGACGGCGACTGCGGCTGCGAACATGTCCAAGAACAATTGCTGGCCGCTTGGGGACTCGAACGGATTGGGGCCTGCTTTATATTTAGACGGCTCCGCGGTGCAGAACACAAAGAGGAGCGACGCCTGCTTGGCGTGGTTGGTACCGATCCTCCATCAGCCCAGGAAGGACGACGACAAGGACGAGACGACCGCGCCAGCAGCGAAGATCGGGTGGTGAGCAAATTTATGTGCACAGGTGTCTGTAGTGATGTAGGCTATGTAGTACCGTCCAGATGTTATTGCAGATCTGTAGGTAACTCTGAATAGTTTAGGTTTTTGCTGTTTCGAGTGCATGCGAATCTGATGGTACAATGATGTAGATGTGACGGGTGCAGATGTGAGTTGCCGCTGACTTGGGCCCAATGTCAAACCCGTTTTGGCTTAGCAAAATGAAATGGTAGCGGATGCACAAACACATTCGCATCGAAATCGTGGCGCACATCAGCGCGAGCTGACCTCCTGAAAACGAGTGGATCGCATCTCGAAGACCCCCTATGTCAATAGTTCCCGCGGCGCAAAACGAGACGTTGGCTCTTACCCAAGCCTGCTCCACGACGGCCTCGAGTGGCCACAGAGCCTTTTTTTTCAAGAACACCCCTGGGAGAGACCACACTCCGGCCAAAACCAAAGGATACAGTTGTGTGGTTTGCCTCCTCGTTGTTCGCTTTCGTTTGGCTTCGGGAGCCTCTCGATGGCTTCATGATGGCTCCAGATGGCCCCCAAGAATGTCCCAAATGGCCCCAACAGCGCTCCAAGACGGACCCGAACGGCTCCCAAGAGGCGACGATCTGGGCTCCAGAGGAGCAAAGCTAATTGAGACTCCTCCCTTATTTGGTCGATGTCCTCCAAGATGGCCTCAACAGGGCTCTCAAGAGGGCCCCCAAAGGCCCCCAGAGACCCCCAAAGGCTCCCACGATGGGTCCAAGAGGGCCCCCAAAGCGCCCCTGTACTCCAAGAGAGATAATTAACTGTTCGAATCCACGAACCTAATCCGCGCCGCCCTCTTATTTGAACGACGTCCTCCAATGTTACTCCAAGAGGGCCCCCCAGGCCCCCAAGAGAGTCCCAAGATATACCCAAGATGAATCAAGAGTACGTCTGGCATGACCTCCGAGGGGCCCCAAGATCGCCCCGAGACGGCTCCAAGTGGCCATGAAGACTCCCAAGGACGCCCCCGAGCTCTTACACTTCCCTGATCAGGTCAGTTCGCTCGGGCATCGCGTCGGGATCGGCTGGTGGAAGCGCCAACACGTATTCAGTTTACCAAATCTGGTGGGGGTGAGGCTCCAGCGTGCCTCTGACCACGGAGGTTGGCCCCCCCCCCCGCCCGAATGGCAGCCCTGGAAAGCCTTGGCGAGTCTCCCACCAAGCCGTCCAAGTCTTGGCCTGGCGCCCTCCGGGCCCCGCACTGGACCGCCTGGAAATCGGCTCGCCGCGGCGAGCCCCAACCCGCCGCCTCCCCTGAACTGACGCGGATCGCCGGGAGTTCGGCTCGCCACGACCACCCCCGACTGAACCTGGCACGGGGCTTGCCCTGGAATGCCCTGGATTACAAAGGTTTTCGGTGCGCCGCAGACAGACCCGATTCGATGCGTGCCATGGATGCCCTTGGCTGCTGGGAATTCGGCTGAAATCCCGACCCTCAATGTTTGGTGTGCATGTGCCGGTGCAGATCATTCGTGTGCACTAGAGGAAGAATAACTGCATAAACATAGAAACGTTCGGAGGTCCGCGCGGATTTCTTGAAGCGGCGCTGGGTCTTTATCCCTGGCGCGCGGAGCGCGCCAGGGGCGGCGAAGGAGGCGCCGCTTGGGGGCTGCAAAGCTCCGAAATCCGCCGACCCTGTCGGCGTGTGTGAGGGGCTTTTCTGTTCGAGTCGGGCTTTTCCGTTGGAGTCGTCGTCTCCGTCCTCCTGTGTTCCGCTTGCCTGGGCCCTCTTCCTCATGCGCGCCGTCCCAAGCAAAATTGAACAACATCGGAGAGGAACCCTTTGATCCCTTCCCCGCGCCGGGGGGGGGTCCTGTCGCCACCCTATACGTTTTCCCCCCGCGCCCCGGCCCCCGCTCCGGCCCTGGACCCAGGCACGGCCCCGCGCCCCGGCGCCCGCGCCCCGGCCCCAGCCCCCGGGCCTGGCCCCCGGCCGTGGCCGCAGCCTCGGCCCCGGCCCCGGCCCCAGACCTGGCCCTGGCCCTGGCCCCAGCCGCGGCCCCAGCAGAGCCCAAGAGGCTCCCAAGAGAGCCCCCCAAAAGGCTTCAGAGCGTCAGCGTCGTCGTCGTCGCCGCCGCCGCCGTCGTCGTCGTCGCCGTTCCCCTTCAGGGTCGGCAGCACCGGCCGCTAGGCCTTCCCAATCTGATATTTATGCAGTTCATTATTCGTCGATGTTTGCCACCTGCACGCGTGTCAGGTAGATAAAGTCGCACCTGGCGATCAACCCCTTGTTGGCGGAGAGCCCAGGAGGGAATTGAGAAGCGGCAGGTCTTATGAGGGGCGGGGGGGGTGCTCAGAAGCCCTCGCGCCTTCTGAGGAGTCGTCTGTGGCTTCGGAGAGGGCTTCCCAAGCTTCTCAGAAGGCGCGACGACTTCTGTCCCGCCGCCTCCTGAGAAGGCCTGCCCCCTCTCACTTCCCCCCTGGGCTCGCCGTCGACCTTGGACTCGAGCGTCCACTTCAGCATATCTTCCGTATAGTGCAGCGGCACGTTCAAGAGCGTCAGCGTCGTGGCGCGGGGGAAGCTTTCCGAACTCCACTGTGACATCGGCGACGAGTCAGTCCAGGCCTCCTGTGCAGGACGCAAGCGGGTCGTGCAAAATTCTGATCGTTCCCTGCTTACTGCTGGGGCAACACAACAGACAGGGGGTCGAAACACGAAATGCCCGATCTCGGCCCCGTCCTGCGCGTCTGGAAAACAGGTCCCCGTGCAGAAGCTGTCTGCCGTGCTGAAGGCGTCGGAGTCCTGGGGGCCGGACGGTTGCAGCAGGCCGAAGCGCAGCGGCACGCGCGCGCGACCGCTGCAGTTGCGCCTTCATCCACCTCTCGCGCCTGCTGAGCACACGTCCACGAGGTTGCGCTCTGAGCCTGCTGCACGCGACCTGCCGAGAGGAGAGGCAGGAGCTCATCTGCGCAGCCAGGCCTCCGACGCCCCGGCTCCTCCAGTGCCATTGGGCTCCGGACCCGCCAGCTCGCGCGGAGTGGGCGCCGCGGGCTGCTTTTACTGCGGACCTGGGGGCGGGCAACAGGACTCCTGAGCCCAAGGAAATGTAAGAGCCGGCCGTTCTGACTTCTCATGGACGCCGGAGGGGAACCCATCGAAGGCCCAAGGAGAGCCTGGCCAAGACTTGAGTCACTTGTTCGAATGTGGCACCGGCAGCTCAAAGCGAAGGCGGCAACCACGATGACGACGAGGACGACCAGGAGCACCAACGTCGCAGATCGAGAGCTGCCAACAGGGCGGCGCGGCGGCCCCCCTGGAGCTGGGACGCCTCCCCCAGAACTTGTTGCGCCGGCGGCTAGGCAGAGTACAGTCGGGCTGCTGCAAGAAGAAACGCCACATAAGGAGCGAAGCCCCTTCTTGGCACTGCAAGCGCCTCCGTGCCCCAGGAGGGCAAGAGGAGCAGCACTGGAGGAGCCTAAGGAACATCGAGCCCCCCCCGAACCCAAACTGCTCCTCATTCCGGCGTCTTGACTGCAACTGCGCTTGGCGGAAGAGCGAACTGAACGGGGGCACCGTTGTTGAGAATCTTGCCACGAGAGGCCTCCCCCAGAACAGGGGTAGACGAGGATGAAGGAGCCCCAGGACACACAAATAAATACACACAAATAAACAGATTCCCCATATTTTCTCATATTTTCTCGGTTTCTGTCTTCCCCCCCACTTCCCATCTTTTCCCACATTTTCTGGGGAATCGCCGATTAATGGTGTCTGTGTGTTTCTTTCCCTCCTGAGAGGAGCAGGAGGAGATGGGGCTCTCCACCAGCGCGGATGCCTGCCAGGACTGCTCGGGCAGGGAGCGCGGCTCAGCCTGGGCGCGCGGGAGCCTCGGGCGCGCCAGCCGCCTCCGGGCCTCTGCACCTCCTGCCTCCTCCTGCCCAGGGACGCCCTGAGCCACGAGGGGGCGGGAGCTTATAGGCCCTGGAAACGACAGGGCCGTTTTTTTTTACCGGTTCCGTTTTGCCGTTTTTTTACCGGTTACCGGTTCCGCCGCCGTTTTTTGACCGGCTCCGGCTCCGGTTCCAATCCCGGAGCTGTTTTTTGGCCGTTTCCGGTCGCCCTTTTTTTGCCGTTTCCATTTTCAAGGGACATTTTTCTGGAAACGGTGAAAAAACGGCCCTGCCGTTCCCGGGGCCCACAAAGGGTGGGAGGGGGTGAAGATGAGCATCGTTCCGCCGATCCCTATCCTCACAGGCATGGCCTTTTACCCACGAACCGACTTGCCCACCTACGTGGGGGTGTATGCCTGGTCCCTCGGGCTTTGCGCGGCCGGTTCCCACCTGAAGAGGGTGGGCTGAGATAACATGGCCAAGTGGGGATGCAAGCAAGCAAAAGACGAGCATCGCGACGGACATGTGGGCAGTCAAGGGTCCACATCTGGCAGCCTGGCGAAGAGGCGGGCACAGACGCCAGAGCGAGGGGGAAAGGATGGGGAAGGGGTGCAACATACGCAATCACACACAATGTGCTCAGTGATGCTGCGACACATTGTGCGTTGAAGATGCACGTGGGTATGGGGTATGGGGATGGGTTGAACGACGCTGAGATGAAGAGGCTTCGAGGGGCTGCGCCTGCGACCCGTTGCGCGCAGCGGAAGAGGGGCGCGCACACCGCGCGTGAACCAGCCTCTGCCTGCAACCGCCCTCCTCTGCAGATTCTTGTGCCTGAGCGTCTTTCGAGCACCTTCCCTTCGCCGACATCAGAAACCACAATTCTTGACTCGCCCGACCCTGGAGATGCCTGGCCGCAGCACAGGAGCAGTGCGGCGGCAGGGGCTTACAGCATCGCCGACAGCATCGCCTCCTACTGGGGCGGCGTAAGACTCGAAATTGGTGGACTGCCAGAGCCGTCAGGAAAATACTGGACCTGGTCTGAAATTGGACGCGAGCTCCAGCTGCAAATATCTCACGAAAACTTGACTGCCGAACTTTCTGCCAGGACTACGAGATTGATTTGTATCACTAGTACCTGCCCCGAGCTTTTTCCCAAAATAAAACTGCCTTGAACGATTTGGTGTGATCTCGCGGCGGCGATCGAGTCACAAAGAGGTTGCGACGCCGCGCGACCACGGACAGCTAACGCGCCAAACAGCGAATAACGCAACAACGCGCCTACACCACGCGCCCCGCCGCGACGAACCATGGGCGCAGCCAAAGGGAAACGGTGCCAGTCCACCACCGAAGCAGCGACCAGCGCCGATACCCACGCACTCAGCGTTAGATCTGACGCGCAAGCTCGTTTCGCAGCGCCGCCGCCGCGCGCGCGACGCCGACGCCGACCGACGATCCCGCGAGCAAGCTGGAACGCGCGACGACCCGCGCGAAACCGCAGCGCGCCAAAGTCGGTCGGACAACGCGGCCCACGGTCAAACGGGGTCCCGCCGAACCCCGCTGAGAAACATAACAGGCGAGCGAACGCTTAGGCGCGACGGCGCGGCCGCGACCACAAAGCGGCGGCGGCGCCCCCCTCCCAGCGCGGGCATGCCAACGGAAGGGCAGCGATACGCCCAACGGCCTACATGCGCCTACGGGCGCCCCAACGACGAAATGCACACGTCGGCAGACGCGCTAGACCGCAACGTGGAGCTCACGGAAGCGGCGGCAGTGGCGGCACAGGAAAAGGCGATCGATGAGGAGGAACACGAATAGGACGACGACGGCAAGGAGGGCGGGAGGGCGGGCAACGGCGGTGTAGGGAGAAACAAAAGGTGAGGATGAGGGTGAATTAGGTAGACAGGGCACAAACGATGAGCAAACGGCGGGCGAGGAGAATGCGGTTGCACGAGGCGCGGAACTAGGAGCGGAAAGAGGAGGAGGCGAATGTGATTGGCGAGGGCGACGGGAGAGGGGAGGCACGCGAATCATCGAATGCAAGGGAGGGTAGTAACGGATTTGCCGCTAGCAGCGTTGTCGAAAAGCGGCCGTACGGTCGGGAACCTGTAGAGAGACCGAGTGGCGTGGCACGAACATGAGACCTGGCACTGGTGCATATGGAGGGCGCAAAAGGCCAGGGAGGGGGGAGAGGTGAGTGGTAGGCGCCGACCAAAGCATGACCAGTTGTTGGGCATACCCTAGAGCTCTTAGGGGTCCTCTCGGGGCTGTCTTGGGCATCTCCTGAAGATGTCCTGGGGGCTGAGGGCACCCTGGGAGTTCTAGGCGACTTGCCCCCGCGTTTGGAGCTCTGGGGGTGTTCTCGTCGAGCCGTCTTGCGGGCCCTCTGGAACAGTGTTGAAGCACATGTGGGACGTTATTGGCCATCCCTTGGGGCCATCTTGGAGCCCCAATGAGGGCCTAGAGCTTGTCGCTAAGAGGAGGAGGAAGTGGCGGAGGAGGAGAAGGAGGAGGAGGGGGGAGGGAGGGAGGGGGGAGGAGGGAGGGGAAGGAGGGAGGAGGTGGAGGAGGAGAGGAGGATGAGGAGGAGGAGGAGGGGAGGAGAAGGAGGAGGAGGACGACGAGGTTGAGGAGGAGGAGGTGGAGGAGGAGGAGGAGGGTCCGCGCTGTCGGCCACTCTGCGCTGGCCCATTTGAGTTTTTGTTCAGCAGCGCTGCACCGTGCTCGTGACGGGGCTCGCACATGTGGCTCGTCGTCGCCGATCCGTTTCGCTGAAGTTGCCGCGACGTTCAGTTCTCTGGGGCGCTGGTTCCTTTCGGCCCGCGCTGGTTTTCGAATCGGCGCGCGGGCGTGCCCTTGTTCCGCGTTGGCCCTCCCCCTCCTGCCTCCTCCCCCCCCATCCTCCTCCTTTCTCCTGTTCCCCCTCCTCCTCCTCCATCTCCTCCTCCTCCTCGTCCTCCTCCTCCTCGTCCCCCTCTTCCTCCATCTCCTCCTCCTCCTCCCCCTCCACCTCCTCCTCCTCGTCGTCCTCCTCCTCCTTCTCCTCCCTAAGCATGGCGGGCGGTGGCAGCGGAAGATGTAAAGGCAGATATCGAAACAGGCGAGATGGGGGATGAGCGGCCGACGGGGACAAAGCTGTGGACGGGGATGATATCAAAACAAGTGTGGATACGCGGGGCGATGGTGCGCGGGGGCGTGAGAGTGAGAGGGGGGGGGGGGGGGGGGGGGGGGGGGGGAGGGCAGGATGGAATTGAAATATACGCAGGGTAGCTTGGAGCGCGAGAGTAGCGGAATAGCTCGGGGTGGGCGAGCGACGGAAGGCAAGGGGGCTAGGTGCGTCCTGGGAGCCATATTGAGGCGTCTAGGGGGCCGCCTCAGGCCCTCTAGTGCGATATGAGGCCCCTCGGGCCCTTCGTGGAAATCCTGAGGGGGGGGGGGGGGGGGGGCACACTCGATCTCCCGACGATTCCGAGATCGTCCTCAGGAGGAGTCCCACGGGCGGCCATCAAGACGGCCCCCAAGACGCATAAAGGAGCAACCCACAGGCGGTCACCATGAGGGGGCGGCACGAAGCTTCCATGAGGCCGCCGCAGACCCCCATGGGGTCAAACTGCGCCCTCTTGGGGCCCTCTCGGAAACCGTGGGGTTAACCAAGGGATGCTTCAAGGCCGTTCCAAAAGCGTGTTCGGGGGGGGCCCAAAAGGCGGTAAACGTGCCATCCCCTGATGGTGACCACCGCCACCTCATGCTTCCTTCCCACATCTACTCATCCCGTGCATGCTTCTTTCCATCTCCATCCCCGCATCCTCCACCTCCGTTCTCCTCCTCCCTCCTCCTCTTCCTCCTCCTCCTCCTCCTCCTCCTCCTCCCCCCATTCCTCCTGCCGTCGACGCAGTCTCCGCGAGTACCGACGTC